AAACGTTAATCAAGAGTATATATTATTAACATTCTATAACAATTTCAATCTAATTGGTCATTCCAAGCTCAATAGTATCGATACTACTACCCTGGTACCGATACTTCTATACTATGGTACCGATACCCCCTTCTGGTATCGGTACCAATTTTAGATTCGATGCTGCCTGGTATCGATACCCTTACCATGGTATCGATATTTCCTCGTCGATATCGATACTGATTCAATCAGTATGGATACTACTCAGCTAATTCATCCCATTTTAGCCTATAGTATCAATATTGTTCTATCAGTACCGATACCCTTGCTAGATTTTCCACTTTTCAACCCGATTATTACATAATGGGGGTAAAATTTAGTTATATTTACATCATACAATTCTATCAAACTCTTCTTTAAATGTCCATACTAACATTCCTTCATTGTAATACTTAAAACATCTAGTACCCCTCAAGATCATTGGATTCTAAGAATCACACCAAAATTTCTAACTTGTTTTTAAACTCATCCAATGCTTCTAATATCTTATTTACTACTTTGACAAGTCAATTCCACCAATGAACATCAATAAACACTCATATATCAACATATCATGTAAAAGCCCATTTTCTTAAATCTCTAATATTTCCTCCATTTCATAGTTTTAATCTCATATAACATTTCCTTAAGCTTACCTATTGCTTAAGGTTACAAGGACCAACCAAAATCAACCGAAAACATGAGCTAAATGAAGCTTACCTTAAGCTATGGATGAGCACTCTCACCCACGGGAAGAAGAAGAAGAAGAGAAATAAGTGTTTCACTTTCCTCTTTTTCTTAAATCCCTAATTTAAATGGGTTTTAAATTCATTTCACCTAAAAGACCAAAATACCCTTTCAATAAACTATCTCTTACAAATTGGTCTTACTTAAGTAATTTCTTATACTTTACCAATTACTCAATTTAGTACCTTCAGATATATAAAACTTGGTTTGAATTGAAGTAAAGAAATAGGAAAAATAATTCGATCATTTTTTATTAGAGACACCATTTGAAAAAGGAAAAAAAACAACTATGAAAGTAACAACGGAAGTTATTAGATTCTTTAATATATCATGTCAGTTGTCATTAATAATTTAATGATCTAATAATTTAAATGAAAGTTTTTTTTTCTAATGATAATAACATCAATAGAATAAATTCAATTTTGATGAACAAAGTAAAAATGTTCTAAAATTTTAATAACTATTAGTGTAGTTTATCCTTTTTATGATGAAAAAGGAAAGGTTTTTTTACACTTTTAGGGGGCGTTTGTTAAAAAAATCATTGTCAATGGGTATGACTTTTTTTCGAAATTGTATTACATGTTTAATTTACGGAAAAGATTATTATTAGATAATAACATATTATCAATAGTAACATTTTTTGGTTAAAATGATGGTATCAATAGTATCATTTTTGGGTTACAATGGTGGGAATGTCATTACCTCTAAATTCTTAGGTAATAAATAATTCCCACCACTTTGGATACAAATGTCCATTAAATAATAAAATTTTTCATATAGATATTTCTCAATTCTTATTATTCGTACTTCACTCAAAATTATAAACTTAATAATAAAAATAATACACAAAAAAGTTTAATTTAGTAAAATATTGATAAATTTGAGTAGTTATAATTGTTTTATATTTTTAATATTTATTATTTTAATTATTTTATAATTTTATAATTTTATGAGGTGAAAATATTATTATTGTAAAAAATGTAATTATTTAAAATAATATTTAATTTTGAGTTATTAAAAATATATCTTATATACTAAAAAATAATATATTTGTCCACTCGAGATCATAATATTATTTTTTATATTATATTATATTTTATATAAATAAATATGATACTTATAAAAATTATTTACAATTATAAGTTTTATATACTAATTATATCAATTATATGTTAAATGTATTTTTTTCTTTAAACTTAGATAATATAATAATTAAAATATTTTATAAATTTTCATTTAAATATTTATAATTTAATATTAAAATTTTAATTGTTAAATATATATATATATCAAGGATAATTTGGTAAAATATGAATCAAAGTAATCCTATATTCTTTTAACTAAACGCTATAATTTTACGTTTATGGTAAGCAAACTAAACATGATAATACAACATTCACAAAGTAATATTACATTCCGGTAATTTTATTTCAAAACTTAATTTTACATTCTATGAACCAAACATATCTTTAGATACTTAAAGTACACCTCAAATTGATTTTTTAATATCTAAAATAATTTTCGTTAAAAATATGTATCTAATGTTTTTTTTATACTTTTAAATATATGCTGTAAGAAAAATAGTTAAATGATATTTTAATATGTATTAAGCCAAAAGAAAACATAAATACTGTAACAAAAACTGTACAAGCAAGCAGCTAACAGATGGAAACACAATCAGCCAACAGATACGCAGATAGAGAAAATATATCAACGACACTTGTACGAAAGGTGTCGGCACCGAACGACAAAATCCCATTTTGTTTTTGGCTTAGTGACCCTCTATAAGTCTCTCTATTTCCTTCTTCCTTTGCCAGCTGCAACCTTTTTCCTTCCGCCATGACCGCCATAGCCAATGTTGGTGCTTTGTTTCTGCCAGTATCTTTAACAAGATCACGCTACATTACTTCTTCAACAAAGGTAGTGCTTTCTTTCTGCTTTTAACACGGGATTAGTTTTGCACCAAGGAAAAACAGTATGTTGAATCTATCTCAATCTGGGATTTAAGTTTTAGTTGTGATTAGAGTTTCAGTTGCGGACATAATACATACTATTACGGTTAGTACAATCGTATAATAACGATCTTAATTAATGTTATTATTATTATATAACGGTCATTATTCTGATAGTTTAGTGAACTGATATCTAAATCCTTATTTAAATCCTTGATATCAATTGTATCTGCTTTGCTCTTCCAGCAACATATACAATAATAGATTTTTATATTAAGTTTTAGGAGCTAAATATCAATGGTATTTGCTTTGTTCTTCCAGCAACATATACAATGATAGATTTTTATTTTAGGTTTTAGGAGCTAATATATTTAGGGTCACTTTATAACGATTTTGAAAAGTAATTTTTAAAAGTGCGGTAGAATTTTTTTTAAAAGTGTTGTTTAAGAATACAATTAAATTTAAACGGTTTGAGATTATTATTAAAAAAAATGAGTTTGAAAAAAATGTCAATTATAAAAATTATTTTTAAATTAAAATATAAAATTTAAATTATATTTATACTTATTAATATTATGATATATAAAATATATCATTTAAATTATAATAAAAAATATAATTATAATAAAAATATATTTTATAATAACTTATTATTAATATTTCAATATATAAATTATTAACATTTTAATATATAAATAATATATTTTATTTATTTTTAAATAATTAAAATAAATTATTAGGTAATAAATCATTTTCAAGGATTTTAATATTAAATTATTAAAATAAAATATAAATACATAATTGTGTGGATTTCATACATTAATGAGGGTAAAATTATAATTTGTTCTCAAACATAAAGTTGAAAAATGGAAAAGTTATAAATTCTAATTTTTGTGATTGGTTTGAAATCGTCATTTCATATTGATTTTACGGTCAAAACGAAATTTTTACTAAAAACTGCTTTTAAAAAGCCATCCAAACGACACCTTTGTTTGTTAGAATAGAATAGAGAGTAAATCTTTTCGAACAAGTTTACGTATATTTGTTTTTAGTTTATTGGATATAATACTATTTTAATCAAGATATCATATTATATTTTATCAATATAAAAATATATAATAAGTTTTACACTAATAAAATATCAACTCGTAAAATCATAATTTATATTAATTCATAAATAGAATTACAAAAACACTTAATTTTCTATATTGATAACACTATTACTTATAAGAGACTTGAACATTTTTACTTTGTTATTTTTTTAATACCAGTTTTATAAAAAAATCATTTATAATGATATAAATTTTAAGAAGGTATAAAAGTAGAAATTTCCATAATAGTCTAAATATAAACAACCAAAGCCTAATTCTTAATCACTATATTTTTTTTATAAATTTTAAATTTAATTCTAATCCTGCCTAATTTTTTTAAAATTTAATAATAATTCTACTTAGAAAAGACGAAAAAGAAAAAAAAACTCTAAGAAAAAAAAAGAATACTACTCTCGTCGTGAATTTAAAATCCATAACCTGATAAGATAAGAGATAATAAATACGATTAGTTTGACCAATCACTCAAATATATGCTTACTCTAATCTCTACAAACTTTTATATTAACCGCCAAAATAAATATATCATATATGTTTTAAAAAAATATCATAATAACAAAATAAAATAAATTATCAACCACCAAACTCACTTCTTAATCACATACAAGTAAATAAATACAAGCTTTAATATTAGTTGTGCATTTTATCCCATTGAAATGGCTTGATCCAATTAGAGGATGACACCTGTAATAAAAAAAATAAAAAATACATATTTAAAAATCCTTAAAATTCTTTTTTTGAAACTCAACTTTTTATAATTTCTGATTTTCTCATTTTTATGACTTTTACGTTTTTAATGACTTTATATGTTTTTATATTTCAAAAATAAATTAAGCATAATAATATTTTTTTTGGGAAATATCAATTCAAAAAATCAATTTTGTAAATTAGAGTTTGTTGCTTTTAATTTTTTTTTTTCTAAGGTTTTTTCATATTTTAGGATTTTTTTACTTTTTAAAATTTTAAAATTTTTATTATACATAGCACGTTTGATTGGGGTTACACATATCTTAAATTTAATAAAATAAATAAATAAAATGATAGTAAAATGGTCAAACTTATGAAAAATACTACAGGGTCAAATACTGAATTAGACTAAAGTATATTAGAAAAGGGTAAAATTACTTGATCTATGGCTTATAATTTGTGGTTGATTTATTTCAGGGCATTAAAAAGGGGTTTAGAGTATTTGCTGTGTTTGGTGGGAAAAAGTAGCTTGGGGAACAGGAGGAGCCACCGGGAAACTATCTTTGATGTCGAGGATCCAAGGTCTAATGCTCCACAATGTAAAGGGGAGTTCATCGATGTTTATCTGGCACTGGAATGTGTTGGATACTATATTCGGTATTGCGATTGGCGGGCTCGCCAAGATTTACTCACAATCATGCTTCTTCATGAGAAGGTGGTCTTCAATCTCAACATGTTTATCTTACTTCCTGAGCACTTTGAACTTGTGCAAGTTGTGTTATTAGCTACTTTACCTGTGTTTTCAAACGATTGATTTTGCTTTTAGTTATCAAGAAAACCGTGTGTTGTAGGTAGTGGAAGTGTTGAATCCTCTAGCTCGTGAATACAAGTCGATCGGAACCATGAGAATAGAACTTGCGGAATTGCAAGGAGAATTAGCACATGCTCACCAGCAGGTACATGAATCAGCATTTAATTAAACTGTGATTTGTATAATTTACTTACTAGTATGCATTGGTTGTTATTGACAAAGGAGTAACAAAAAGAGGTCCTTATTTTGATATCACCCAAATTTGATTCTGATCCAATAACAGGTATATATAACTGAAGCAAGGGTTGCTGCTGCTTTGGGTAAACTACCTTGCATGGAGGAATTGGCTTATGATAAGCTGTTCGAAGATAGAACCGCAACAGAGTCCAATGTAGCATCCACTTCTAGCACATCAAAACAATCTTTGGATACTTTGAAGAGGAAGTCGCCCCGAGGAAGCTTCGATGTGTCGGGTCCCGTTCAACCATATCACCCGCGCTTGAAGAATTTTTGGTATCCCATTGCTTTCTCCACTGATCTGAAGGATGACACTATGGTAAAACATATTCAAAAGTATAATATTGCTTATCATCCAATTCCACAGCACATTGACATACTAATTCTAGATTATGATGATATTCATTATTTCTACATTTGTATTCGGCTTATCAAGCAATATCATATAGCTATCGATTTCTACGGACGGTAGTGAGTTCGCACCCTTTTTATCAGTGTTTCTATTACTTCTCATTGCAGATTCCAATTGACCTCTTTGAAGAGCCATGGGTTCTTTTTCGTGGAAAGGATCGGAATCCGGGATGCGTCGAAAACACATGTGCACATAGAGCATGTCCTCTTCATTTTGGTTCGGTTAATGAGGGTCGAATCCAATGTCCATACCATGGTAAGTATGAGTTTAGGAATTGTACATTTTAAAAGCAAGACAGATATCAGTGGATGATTTAGACCTAGTATATCAGGCTGGGAATACACAACTGATGGGAAATGTGAGAAAATGCCGTCAACACGATTACTTGACATGAAGATAAGATCATTGCCATGTCTCGAGCAAGAGGGAATGATCTGGATTTGGCCCGGTGATGACCCTCCTTCAGCAACCCTTCCTTGCTTACAACCTCCTGGATTTGAAATTCATGCCGAGGTATGCTTTCTTTATAGTAATTCAGCGAAAACAATGGACAACTTTTAGTAATAATCTGCACTATCTCTCATCATATGCTTATAAATGCCAGTTTGCCATGGAACTTCCGATCGAACACGGAATTCTTTTGGACAACCTCTTGGATGTCGTTCATGCACCTTTTGTTCACACTTCCACATTTGCCAGGGGATGGACAGTTCCAAGGTTTGTTTTAGCAATCAATTTGGAACATGGTTTACTGCTGTGTGATTTTGATCTTACTTGCCGTGTGCAATGTGGACATCGCAGTTCGGTGAAGTTCTTGACGCCTGCATCAGGTCTCAGAGGTTACTGGGACCCATATCCGATCAATATGGAATTCCGGCCACCTTGTATGATGCTATCAACCATCGGGATATCAAAACCGGGAAAAATGGAGGGACAAAGTACCCAGGAAAGCGCAACACACCTTCACCAGCTTTATGTATGCATACCTGCAACCAGAAATAAGACGAGACTGTTATATAGAATGTCACTGGATTTCGCACCCGTGTTGAAACACATTCCTTTTATGCATTATTTATGGAGGCATTTTGCAGAGAAGGTCCAAAATCTTTAATGTCCACTTTCCTCTGTACTACCATTTATAGTTTTTTTAATAATTTAAAGTAGTATTTATCTTATATGTTTGATTGATCGGTACAGGTGTTGAACGAGGACATGCCACTCATAATCGGGCAGCAGGAACGTATGTTTAAGGGGGCAAACATCTGGAATGTGCCGGTGGAATATGATAAGCTGGGATTTAGGTACAGATTATGGAGAAAAGCTGTTGAACAAGGAGCCAAAGAATTTACCCTTCAACCAGCCTACGCAAAATTCCAACTTTAACCTCTCACTTTCGTTTCTTTATTAATGCGGTTTCTTCATTTTTTTCCTTTTCAAGTGCTATAAGTTTATTCGAAATTTTATAAATTGTTTAGTAGTTTTATGTCGTTTTCGAGGGCTTTCTGTAATTTTATTTTGTTCATATATTTTTTTTTTCTTTTTGGCTACCACTCCGTTAATTGAAGTTTCTTGCTTTTGATTTTTTTATATTTTTTATATTTTTAATTTAAGATAAGTAAGATTTATTTAAAATTTAATATCATTTAAATAATTTATTCTAACAAAATATGATAAACTCAAAATACTAAGCTTATGTGAAATTATATTAAATAATTTATAATTTATTGAATTAATGTTATATTTCATAAACCAGAGACTTCCTTGATATGTATTTTAATATTTTTCAATAATTTTTATTATTTACAAATATTTAAATTGATTTACACGGTACGCTTTTTCATATTTCGATTAAATCTAGAGTAAAGTATACATATAGTTTTCGAATTATATGATGATATTATTTTACTGAGTCTCATGGTTATTAAAAGTTATAAAATGATATTTGATTGTAGAGCGTTTCTTTGTTGAGTTTTTCGATTGTTAAAAATTACAAAAATGGTTATCAAACTAATCATTATATTTAAATCTTGTTTTTTTTGTTAAAAAATTGAAGATCGTCTAAAGTGAACGTTAATATGATGATTGAGATATGATAATCGTTTGAGATTCTAAGATCATATTTTATCATATCTTACTTAGTAGATTTACGTTTAGCTTCATATATCGTTAATTTTTTTTAACGAAAATGATGAATTTAAAACACAATTAATTGTTGAGCGATCATTTTTTAACATTCAAACAGTGTATTCAAAATAAGTTTAGATCAAAATCCTATAATAAAAAAAAGGTAAATATAACACTTTTAGAAGGGGAGCATCTGACATTGACAATCTATATGACAAAACAAAAAAACAAAACTAAAATTATTTAGCATTCAAACGTTGTGTGGTAGAGAGAATTTGACAGAAGAAAATGAATAGAGTTATAGAGAGGAGAAGGAGAACAGTGCGGCAGCAAAATAAGAGAAATAAAACGAATAAAACTAATAATATAGTTAAAATATCTTGGTCAGGTCAGAGATTTTTTACTCTAAGCCTGACTCGAAATTAAAAATTTTACATAATAAATCCGACTCAACTCGAATTGAATCCGATTTTTTTTTAAATGATTCCTATCAAGTCGGAATATGTCGGATACAAATTAAATTGTCATCCCTAACTTTACCCTTAATCTAATTGATGAATACATTTAAAAGACAATTTGTATAATAACCCAAGAATGTGATCATGACATTGTACATATAAGTGTATTCATATTTGCATACATAACTTGAAAATTGTCTTAGTATATTTTCTAAGAAAATCATAATATAATAAAGGCTAAAGCATATAAATGATCCCTCGACTACATGGAATTATTTTATTAAGTCCCTCGACTATTAAAAGTTACAAAATGGTCACCCAACTATTCATTATATTCTAAGCTCGTCTTTTTATGTTAAAAATTAACGATATTATAAGATAAACGTTAACATGTTGACTGTGATATGATAAAATATGATCCCAAAATCTCAAACGAGTATCATATTTTAGTCATCACGTTAACGTCCAACTTAGACAACTGTTAATTTTGTAACAAAGAGGATGATTTTAGAATATAATGAATAGTTAGGTGACCATTTTGTAACTTTTAATAGTCGATGGACTTAACAAAATAATATTCCATAGTTAAATGAGTATTTTATAACTTTTAATAGTTGATAGACTTGATAAAATAGTACCCTATAGTCGGGGACCGTTTGTGCACTTTACCCTATAATAAAATATAAATGTGGTGATATTAGACGTGTATGGTCCAATAAGAAGTTAAGAGTAAATTTTTAATATAATCGAAAGAAATTATAGTTTTTAATATAATCGAAAGAAATATTTGTTTTTTAAAGTCTTAATTCACACTTAATGTTTTTTTTTTTCTAAAAAAATCTTAATTTAATATATCATATAATGATACCATGAATCAAAATAAATTAATAATTTTGAAAACAGTAATATTAGAAAAAATAATTATTCCATGAATGGATATTTGAGCAAGTGAGAGTCATCGTTCATTTAAAAAATTTAAATTTTAGATATTTTAAATATTTTTTATATTTTCGATTGAATATTTGTTTTCGTCTTTTTAAAATAATATAAATTTATTATCCTTAAAATTTTATAAATTCATCATTAAATTTTTATAAATTTATCCTTTAATATAAACGTATGTGTATGTACTAATTGATTCTAAATATAATTAAACTTACTTTAATTTCTAAAGCACATTTCAATATTAGCAAATAGTGTGTGAATTCTAAAGTCAACACTCCAAGTCCTCCCCTGGTTGCTTAATCCCTAAGTTGAAGACCAAAGACCCACCAACTTCATCAAAATAAAATCAAAACTAAAATGATTTTCAGTAATTAATATGACAATATGTATAGTTTTGTCATGTTCATGATTTATGCTGTTTTATATACTTTTTAAAAAATAAATTATATTTAAAAAAAATAAATTAGAATAATTATCATAAAATTTTAAAGTAGTTCTATTTTGATTATTAAAATTGAAAAAATTACTAAAGTTATTGAATTGTTAATTATTAACCACAATTATCCTAATATGCAAACATATTTTTTAACAAAATAATATCACCCGATAATATGATAAGACGTGTAAGCATCTTATTAATAGAAAATTAAGTTAAAAAATGTGCGTGCGCGTTCAATGAGGACAAAACCTAGGATTTTTATGAAAAAATATAAAATTACTAATCACTTGGTCAAGTAAAAAATGTTATACTATCACCAAAAAATAATATTTAGTTTAAATTAGGTTTGAAATTAATTTTATTCATTTTATACAAATATATTAATTATAATATAAATTTCAAAATAATATGAGAAAATTTTTAGCATCAATTAGAATAAATTAGTTTTATAAAATTTAAATTTTAAGGTAATCTTATATTATAAAATCTTAAAATATATTTAATTAGTTATTTTTATAATAAAAACACAATAAATAAAATAAAAGGTTGGTACATTTATTATAACAAATATTTTATGGCTGCAGTGGACAAAATTTTCAACTGATAAGCTTTTCCGCGTGGAGAAACGCGTAAGGCCTAAAGCAGTTGAATTGAAAGTTTGAAACTACCAAATCCCTAAATATTCCTTACGCCCTTTCTAAATTCTCTCCCTTTTTAATCTTTTTAATCCTAAAGAAATCATTTTAAACAAAAAAACTGAAAAGAGCGCGCGTATGTAGTCAGCCTCAACAAAGTCGCATTTCGACCCTTCCTTACCAAGTTCTTCAAGACTTTTCAATGGTTTATTAGGCACCCTTTTGCTCTCTCATTATTAAAATTCCATTCTTTTTCTCTAAGTTGAAATGGCTAGGCAGGAACTGAAAGAAAGAGGAACAGTGTCATTGATGATCAACGTGTTGATCTTTCAGGTTGTTCTTTGTGCATCTTTACATGGCTGTTTTGCAGCAATCGGTCAAAGCCCACCTCCTAGGAAGAGATCCACTGTTCACCCAACGGCTGTTAATTCTCTTGGCTCCTCTGTTTATCTTCCTGTTTCTGGCAATGTCTATCCTCTCGGGTACTGCTTTCCTTCTTTCTTTAACCCCCTTTTTTCTTGCTCTTTTGATTTGATGGGTTTGTTTAATTTCTTGGATTGATGGGTTTTATCTATTTACTGTCTTTGTTATGATTTTTTTGGCCAAATCACCAATTTCCTCGTTATTAAATTGATAGGTTTCTTGGGGTTTCTAGTTGTTTTGCTAATGGTTTCTTTGAAATTCATGGAGTTTCTGTTTATAATCAATCATCAGGCATTATTCTGTGACAGTTGGGATAGGCAACCCACCTAAGCCATTTCAGCTCGATATTGATACTGGCAGTGACCTCACTTGGGTCCAATGTGATGCTCCTTGTACTGGTTGTACCTTGGTAAAATGTCTTACTATGATCTTGCCATTATTGATGATTCACAGTGCTAGGTTGTTATGATGATTTTGATCTTCGTTTTTTTTTGGTAGCCTCGTGACCGACTTTACAAGCCGGCTAAGAACAACTACGTGTTTTGCAAGGACCCCATATGTGCCGCGCTTCAATCTCCGAATCCACATCAATGCCGGAACCCTAATGAAAAATGTGGTTTTCGGGTTGAGTATGCTGATCATGGTTCGGTTCTTGGTGTCGTTGTCACGGACACCTTTCCCCTACGCCTTGTCAATGGCTCGGTTTCTTATCCTCATTTGGCCTTTGGGTTGGTATTTGGAAACAACTTGTTAATTCCGATATCAAACTGAAAAAGTCTGGAAGTTTGTATAATTTGTGTATTATGTTTGTATGGTACACTCACTTGTGTTTCCCTCATCAACAGTTGTGGATATCGTTTACAAAATCGCGGTCCGCACCCTCCTCCTGCCACTGCCGGAGTACTCGGACTTGGCAGAAGTAAAGCGAGCATCTCGTCACAATTGAGTAGTATGGGTGTAACACGAAATGTGTTTGGCCATTGTTTCAATGATAAGGGAGGGTTTTTGTTCTTCGGAGCTGATTTCGTCCCTAAATCGGGAATGACTTGGACATCGATGTTATCGAGTTCCTCCGGGTAAGGCGCAATCAGTCAATATCTTCTTCTACCCTCGTTTAACAATTCCTTGTTAGCTCTTAAAGTATATTTCTTTCTTGTTCAATTTCATTTCAGTAAACATTATTCTTCCGGTCCGGCACAACTATTTTTCGGTGGGAAGCCTACTGGTATTAAGGACCTCAATGTTATCTTCGATACGGGAGCTACCTACACTTACTTGAATTCGAGGGTTTACAAGAATGTTATTAATCTAGTGAGACATCAACAAATATAAATGCATAAAACCTTATGAATGCAAACACAGTACATGGAATTGAATCTTTGCTTTGTTTTTCAGATAAGGAAAGATCTCAGTGGAAAGCCACTACAAGAAGTGAAAGATACAGCTCTTCCAATCTGCTGGAAA